CTGTGAGCCCATAAATCTCTGGAGAAAAAATGAACCTTCAAACATATATATTAGAAAATGGCATTATCCTGAAAGAGGGTCAGACGTCATTGGTTTGTTATCTATAACAAAAAAGGAGCTGATCCAAAAATTTTATAGTGCTCCAAAAAGTCTCACTTTTCTGATATTAATATTCATGTTTACTGATGCAGGATAAATTTGCCTTCTCTTTTTAGTCCAGCCTTTAAATGTTGATTTGACTGATCCATACAGAATTATAAAGTTATCCATGTGCTAACACATTTATTATAAGGAAATAAAAAGCACAGACTGTGACTTATCACTGGGAGCTGTAGCCTACTCTTTGAAAACAAGATGACACTGGCTTCAGTCAGCTCCCTGAATGACTGGGAGTTATTCCATTCTAATTTTGACCAAAAGCTTTCAATGAAATCTGGGATTATACTCACAGAGCCTGCAATTCCACTGACTGCTGCTCTCCAAGTCTCCATCAGGAGCTGCATGTGCTGGGCATGGAGGTACCACAATGAGCTCATGCCCACTCAGGATGGCTTTGCAGGTAGAACTGAAATTTATTTCTGAATTCAACCTTACCTGCAACTCAAGTCAAAGCATTTGATAAAGATTTGCTTCTTCAGTGTCCAACCTTCACTCACCTAATGTGAGCTTCTAAGCAACACAGTACTGACAGATTGGGCCTTACCAGAGCCTCTGAAATACACTTCTCACTCAATTTGTGCAGCACAATGAAATCCTGCTTTTGAATGGCACATCGTATTTACAGTGTATTAAGAATATTCTTAGAGAAGTTTCTACACACCAAAGGCACCAGTGAAAGAAAATATAAAGGAAAGAGAAACATAGGTAATAATGAGCAAGAGAGCTTTGAAGGGCAATAGTTATGCTGTCTTTTTAACTGTATTCTTACTAAGTATCATACAAATGTAGAAACCAAAGGTCACAGCTTAACCTTCTAATCATATGAAAACCACTGAAATAATCCATAAAAGAGGAAGGTATTGATAATGAATCTTGTAACAAAATTATTTCCTCTGTTTGTAAGGTTTCTTTGCTATGTAGTAAAAACTGCTGCAGTTTCACTCACCTTCTGTACAGAAAGTTCATTTGATCTGTTTTTATAGGTAGATTTCTCAAGTAAGTTCTTTTCCAAGTTCAACTGTCTCTGGTTGTAACAGAAACATTCTAGCAGCAGTGATACTCTATAGATGTATCACTATTATATTATTATAAATCAGCATTTGGGAAATGGGAGGAGATCATCTTGTATTCAGTCTTATGGAGCAGGGGTTCTTAAAATGGGAAAATTAAAGCTTATTCCTTCTTTGCATAGGACAGTTGGCTTCAGGGGAACTTGAAGTCATGGCCAGGCTGCAATTGCTTTTACTTGCTTAACATCAGGTCAGTTGAGTGGCTTTGGACAATATTTACAACTGATTTCAACCCAATTTTATCTTAATTATGTGTTGAGTCATGAAGAGCAAAAAAATCTTGAGCTGTGTATGTAAAAAACTTATCTACTGACAGTACTGGAGAAGTGCAAAGCTGGATTTTCAGTCTTATTTTTTGTTCACATGAATCCAGAAGATACTTAAAACAAAGAAGCTCCTTATAAACAAAGCCTACTGGATACTGAAGTCTCTCAGACGTAATTAAATATACAGAATTTCTAAAAGCTAAATAGCAGAATAGAATCAACATTTTGATTAGAATGAAACTATTTCAGTCCTTCCATGGCCAACAGTTATAATCCTGAGAGCATCAGATCACATAACCTTTTCACAGCAAAGGTCTGTGCTGTCTGAGGGCTGTCTAAGGTTGGGATGCTTCCAAAGGCAAACTGTTTACTCAGAGGCAGATTTGATCATGGCTCATGTTTTTCCACAAGGCAGCTAGCTTGCTGAAGACCTTTAAAAACCTTTCCCTAGAGCTCATCCACTGGGCTGTTTGGGCTAAGTATTTAGAGCAGTAGCAAAGTGCCAAGTCAAAAGCTAAGAATTTGTTTCTAAGAGAAGCAAGGAAAAGACAAAGAGCAAAAGTTAGCACTGCAGATTATTGCGAGCTTCAGAGAATACAAAACAATTGTTTTAGAGACAGCTAAAAATATTTGCCTGTAAGACAGCTTGCTCTTCTGCCAAAGACATACAATACACTGAGAAACATTTGCAGAATCAAAATATTTATACTACAAAGTAGCAGTTTCTATTTTAGAAATTTATAGATGATTAAGTTGGAACTTCATGTTCTGTAATAAGGACAAAAGAATATCAACCATAGCTATAAGTAAATACTGGCTTTGTTACAAGTTTATTGTTAAAACAGAAAAAAAAAATAAATCCAGCAATTTTATTTTCTCTAGATCACAGTTACCTTGGTGTAACTATCAATACAGTTACAGGATAAAATACAATTTTACTTTCTAACCTTCTTTTTGCTATGTGACATGAGTTGTACTAGAATGCACCCTGAAAAAAATAACAGAAGGGCTGTACAAAAAAAATAAAGTCACCTGGTCTCTCAGGAAGCTTTATAAATGATTGTTCTATATACTCAAAAATCTTGCCCCAGCTTAAAATTCAATACAACTCTTCATCTGTAGTCCAAGGGAACACAGAAACTTAAAGGTTTATAGAGATCAAACTTCAGAAAAACTATTGGAAAGTGTCAAGTTCAGCTCCTTTGTTAATTACAAGCATCAGAAAATCTTGCCTTTTTATGGGGAAAAAATAAAGACAAGTGATTTAAATCATGATCAGAGTGAAAATTCACTTTTCAAAATCCAAGTTTTCTTGCCATATTTAGCAAATGTCCAAACAGTATTTACAGCAACATCAACAGTGCAGCTCTGAGGCTGCCAATATTGCCTCCAATTGTGTAAACCACGTTTTTCTTCCTTCTTTTTTGAAATCTTTTCTTCACTTTTCCCCGTCCAAAGACACAAAGCTTAGCAGGAATTTAACATGTTATGGTATTTGTATCACTGGAGAAACAACTTGTTCAGCAATCATCAATTGCCAGCTCCTGCATTTATTTTTAATTGCTCTCTTTTGTTGTAATCCAAGAAAGAAAACCAAAAAATGATACAAGTGGGTGCCAGCCAAACTTCTGTGCCAAAAATATACCTAAGAAAGGCCCAAAACTGAGACTATCATAAGCTTTCAGAAAAGACTAATCATCAACAAAACAGTTTGCAGTTTGCTGCATTACAGTAAGCCATTTCCAGTAAGAGAGCAGTAAGGGAGCAGAAGTGGAAAAAGAGCAAAGTGCTGAAATAATTTATATTGTCTGTTACTTGATTCATTGCTTGCAACTTCACTACTTCCCCCTGAATGTCTCCTTCCTTTGCATGCTGATGAAAAGGCAGAACAGAGCAAAACAGACTTTTGGTGCTAAACTGCTTCTATCACCTGGTGAGGCTTGACTGGAGATGCATTTCTCTTCCCTTGAAGGGAAAGTGAGATACAGTGAGTATTAAGGAGTAAGAGATCAAATCATGTGACCCAATCTTTGGTTCATCTGCAACAGTAACTGCCTCCATCCTTCTCTTCATGTTGGCATCATCAAAAAATATCTGTGCTTGCCATCTTCTGATGTTTCTTACCCATCCATCCAAGTCACTACAGAAATATATATATATATATATATATATATATATATATATATATATATATATATATATGTACGGAACTAGCACGTAATTTTTGACTGTAAATTATGTCTCAACCTTCAGCCTGCCTGTGTACCTTAAGTACATCAGCATGGGACTTCTGTGTCATTTATCTGCAACCATGAACACACCAGAATGCTGCCCTCAGCTGACCTTGCAGCATGGTTTAATACATTACAAATATCATTTGACTTCTCAGGTTTTGTCACAGTACAGGGGAAATGGATAGAAGAGCCAGTGTCTGTGCAATTGCATGGAAATCAAGTGTCAGAATCATCACACATAGAAACACAACAGGGACAATTCATGCTCACCTCAGGACTGCTCAGAAACTGGCTTCATCTCAAGATGAAGTACACTGGAGAGCAAACACAGGAGGACATCCTGCAGTTTCTGCTGCTACTGCTGGCATTAGATATTTAAGTGCACTTTCTTGTAAGTCTTCAAAAAGTCTTGACTTGGTTCTTTATAGTGCCATAACTTTAAAATGCCTACTATGTACTGTCATGCCATCAAGCCCGTAAGCTGGTAACTTTGTCTTAGTACATTTGGAGTTTTAAGAAGTATAAAAGACATTAATACACCACAAAGTGAGCCCTAAGTATTGTCACAGTTGAAATTCAGAACATGTTCAATGTGAATGGATGTTATTAGAAGGTGTAAACACTTCTCCTGAAGTGAGCTAATAGCATCAGCATTAATCACTACAGCAAAATGTTTTATCACCTAGGAACAGAGATGAGCAGCAAGTTTCCACATTCATGCTGTTTACTTACAAGGCCTTCAAAGAGCTGGTTATGTTCTTCTTGTAATAGGTAAATCAATAGCAATGCCATCACGGCCTCCTACCTTGGTGAAACACTAGACCATGTCACACTACAGTTCTCCCCAGAGCTCCTCACAACTGAAAAGAGCTACAACCAAAAGCTGAAAACTCAAACTCAAAAAAAAAAAATTTCTCTTTTAAGCCTCCTGGGAATTCACATGAATTTCCCAGAAACCCAAAGACAATCCTAATCTACTCTTGTAAAATCAAGACACCGATTGGCAAAGAGTTAGAGTAGCACACATTGGAACTAGCAGCTGGCTAATGCAAATGTGGAACAGGAAAGCAGACACTGAGGTGATGCATGTGCTCCTGTAATTACATTCCACAGTTCTTTGAGCCTTGTTTTCCAGTAAAAAAGCCAGGCAGCTATTGCTTCTATCACTACTTTAAAAGATCCTGCCTTTCAAACTGCTGGTGCACATATTGACACAAACACCATCTGACCAAGCAGAGCAGACCGTGTAGTAAAGAAAAAGTGATACACACTTTCAAAACAGGGTTTTATTGAAACTTATGAAAAACATCTGAAATGTAAGGCAGGGAAGACACTTCAGACCTTAGTCCTTTTCTTTTTTGCTTTGGGTTTTTCTGACAGCTGAGATAATTCACTTTCTTCAACTTCATCACAATGCTTTCTTTTCTTTTTCTTTGACTTTTTATGGTCACTTTGGTAACCACTGGAGTCACTGGTAGGCAACACAAGTTCCTGTTCTCCTTGCTTGTCCTTGTCCTTGTCTTTTTTCTTTTTCTTCTTCTTCTTTTTATCATCACATAATCCATTCACAGCATCAACACCTGGCTCTTCATTTTCCCTCCCAAGGTTACCCATCTCATTTAAAGGCTCTTCTGTGACATTAACTTCCCCACTGTTATTCAGGCCATTTTCCTGGTGGTCAAGCTTTTGAATTTCATCCCCATTTGTACTTTCAGGGACTCCATCAGATTTTTTGGGCCGCATGCTGTAAAGAAATATACAACATAAACTGGATTAGAGACATGTTAGGGCACCTCACATAGTGAAATGTCAAAATTTACTAAAACATCTATTTACATGAAGCAGACAGAAGATAAACATTTGCTAAAAACAACAACAGATGGAGAACGTGATACTCTGTGTCACCGAGAATCAAAGTTTAATACTCTCAGGGTAATTTCTATGACCTTACCAGCTTCCTTCTAAAATCATAATAATTATTCTCTATCAAATCTTAGCCTAAATTTCTTCTCTAAAGTGACATACAGACCATTTGGTAGTTCCTCTTTTCTAGTGCTTATTCATCCCCTAATTCATAACTACACACTGTGTAGTAGTAAAGATTTTTAGGGTTTTTTAAAGTCATTCACAAAAACACCCAGCTAGTGGCCTATTCACTTATATATGAGGCACACTGCTGATTTTACCAAGGAATTACCTTACTCTAATTAAAACAAAGGTGATGCCTGAAAAGTATTAAAAAACAAAAAAAACCAAACAAAAATCAAACAAACAAACAAACAAAAAAACCCCCAAAAAATCCCACAAACAAACAAAAAAACCCAAAAATACACACACAAAAAAACAAACCCCAAAAAACAAAACCCCCAAAAAACTCCACAAAAAACCACCAGATTCCCTCCCCCAAGAGGTACCTTGCAACCAAGAACACTGGAAAAAATGTCTAAGACAAATATGGAAAGAATGCAGTTAAAAACCATGGAGGTTTTTATGTCCTCAGAGGCACTGAAGACAAAACTGCTAACTTTCACTGCATGTCCACTGAAACGAGCCAGAGCATCCTTCCAGATCAAAAGAAGAAACAAACAAAAAATGCTATGAATTTGCCAGTAGGAGTCATATTATACATTTAATCAAAACCAAAACCATGTTGAAAGAAAAACACTGCTCAGTAAAGGACTGTTTTAGAAGAAAAACATGAATGAACTCTTCTGAAGACAAGATTTCTTGCAAGGTGCCCTATAAACTTAGAGAGGCCTAAGGAGGAACTTGACACATTTTCTCATCTTTGAAATTCTCATGTTTTAGCAAGTATTTAAGTCATGTATTTGTCATTATACAATACATATGCATGTTTGTGTGCAACTTTCAATGTAACCACTGTGTTCAGGACCCCTGGACTGTTTGCACTTGAAAAGCCTATGCACAAAGCTACTCTTGGACACCTGGATGTGCTATTTTGAGCATATATTATATATGCAATGAACAATTAATAGGTCAATATACTCAGATTTTTAAAGCTCAAGAAACAATTAGTTTTATTTTATATATATATAGTTATATATGTATATAGTTATATATATAGTTATAGATACAGTTATATTTGTGTAAAAATAAGAAAGCTGAAAGATTAGATGTAATTAAAATCACTTAGCTTGCAAAAAACTTCTTAAATCAGTTAAAAATATTCTCTTTTAAGGCACCATACCTGCTTTTAGTGAGTCCTCCTCGAATGAAGAACACCCCAGCCGTATCAGAATCCAAGTGCAACACTTGAAATTTCAATTCATCCCCTATTTTTAACCCCAGCTCTTGCCACTGTACAGGGGACATTTGTTCAGGCTTGGGGATAGATGCATTGAAGCACCCATGTATCAGGCAGCCAATGTGACTAGGGGCCACTTTATTAATTACACCCTAAAAAAGAAAAACAATGTCATGCAAGTCTACAGCAAAAATCATCCCTTTCAATGCAAACCCTTTAAATATTTAGCTTCCCATATGGAAAACTTTCAGTAAGAGTTTATGAACAAGTTAGGAAGTCAGTTTATCTAGCAATAAGTTAACGTTCCTTCACTAAAAATCAAAGTTAGTCCTGTAAACTCTTCATACAATTCCTCTGAAAATAGAACTGAACTGCAGGAGGAGAAGTCAAAACATGGGATTTAGCTACAGTGAATACCTGAACAGAGTAGGTAACTCTTTCCTTAAACTTCAGCGATCGACTTTGCTTTGAAGCCATTTTAAGTCTGATTTACTTGACTAAAATGCTCTTCAGGCTGGCACAGCAGTACTTAGCAACTGAAGATAGGGAAGACACATAAAAAGCTTCTAAATACTCTATTCAGTGGGTGTCTGACACATGTGCATATGAATCCATATCCACCTTTGTTTTACCCATAGAATTAATGACAGACACTGAAAAATTTTCAATTCTCTTCCAAGGAAGATGGCACATTCACCCTGAAACACAATTATAGAGACACCACCTGTGCTGCAAAAGGTATGGCACAACAATGAATGTAAGCCAACTCTCAACATGCTTTACCCACAAGTGCTGAGCAAGGCTTTTGACAAGCTTAAAGCTGTTCTGTGATCCATACAACTCCATTACTGAAAGGCAGGCTTCAACTGGATGTACTGCTCTTGTGCTTGGAGGAACTGAACTCGAGAGCATCCTAAACATTCCTGTCACTGTAACAAATGCATCTGGTTGAGAACTATGTGCTCTTCAGAATGGAACACCAGTATGATACATGCAGTTATGATACACTATTAAACATGCAATCCTTATGATACAATGGTTTAGCAATAAATAATTACATATAAATTCAACAAACCTAGAGACAGAACAAATTACAGTAAAAAGTTCTAGTACAAACTACTAAAATTTGCTATGAACTACCCATAAACGAGTAAGCTAACATAAACTAAAATACATCTCCACCTAAGCCCCAGACCTCTTGATCTTGGAGACAAGCCAAGCTTTGGCCACTTAATAAAAAAAGCCCATCCCGCGAGACGCCAAGGCGTTCGCATACCACCAGCTTCTTGCCCTTCTTGGGGCTGAAGATGATGAAGTCCGCCTCCACGTCCAGGTGGATGAATCCTTGATCGTCGTAGATGTCGCCGAGCTCCCCCACCAGTTTGATGTTGTCGTAAGCCACCGGCACGCCCTGCAGGCTGGAAGGACAAGGAGTGGGGGGCCCCGTGAGCTGCCAGGCCGAGCCAGCGCCCCGGCCCGGCCCGGGCCCCGCGGCCGCACCTCTCGGAGTAGCGCAGGAGCTCGGCGTCCAGCTGCGCGCGGATGCCGGAGCGCTTGCGGCCCAGGAAGCGCGGTGGCAGCGCCACGTGCCGCCGGTGCGGCGCCGCCACCAGGCACGAATGGCGCCGCGCCACAAGCGCGCGGGCCGCGCCGAACGAGGGCGCGGCGGCGGCGGCGGGGCCGGGCGGCGGCGCCGCCGGGGCGGCGGGCGGCTCCCGCGGCACGGCCATGCACGGACGGGCCCCACGGCGCGCTGCGATGGCGTCAGGCCCTTCCCTCCGCCGCGGCGAGCCCGGCCGCGGCAGTGACGGAGTTCCGGGAGGGTGTGCTCGCCTTCGGAGGGGCGTTTCGTGCCGCCGGACGGTGTCATATTTTAACTCTTTCCAACCTGTTTTACGTGTCGAAGCACGGACTGTTCTGAGGTGGAAGGGGCGTCGAGTCCGGCTGTAAAGGGAACGGCGAGCGGGGGAATCGAGCAGCGGCGCGCTGTGAGCGCGGGCCCCGGAGCCGCCGGCCGGAGCCCCGGCGCGCAGCCCCGCGCCCCAGAACCCACCCCGAACACACCTGCTCCTTGGGGCGGGAAACCTGTGCCTGTGGGTTTGTTTCCATGAGAAAGTTATAATATTATTTATTCTTATTCTTAATATTATCCTTATTCTTAATATTATTATTTATTTCACGTTATCATATTATTTAATCCACTGTCTGAACACATTTCACTCACTGGCTGGAAACATACAGGAGAGTTTCAGCGCTGGAAGCTTGTGAATTGGCCTTGTGAATTTAAATTGGGTATTTGGTGATCCAGGCAACAGACGCAGTGATGAATTACCTTAGTGGCGTTCTTCACATACAGCAGCTTTAAGAATACGGAATTTGTCGTCTGTTGCTAGACCCCAGATCCAGTTTATGCATATGGTAAGAAATGTTTAGATGTATTTAATAACCGCAGACTGAGGAGAACAAAATAAAGTACAAGTCCTCAAAAGGGTTGCTGGTTCACTCTACGCTGCAATTACTTACAAAGTGAACTGCAGTACTAGAACTGCAGTACTAGAACAAGTGTTAGAACCTTGTCCAGAAATCTTATAGTTTCTGCAGTACTAAACTAGAACTGCAGTACTAAAACCTTGTCCAGTTGGGAACGATGGAATTTGTGGCTGGTTAGCGAAGACTTTGTCCAGAAAAGTAATTCAGACTTTATATCCACACAAAGCAGCACAGTATGATTTTACTTTAAACCGATTCAACTGAACTCATGCAAAACGTTGAAAAGGTGTTCTCTCATTGATTCAAATCTAATTTATATCAACTTAACTTGTTATAGTAAATGTTCAGTTTCAAACTGATTGAATCCATATGGGGAGTTACAAAAGAAAAAAGTATTTATCAGTTTCATTACAGGTGTTAAAATTCCTTTTATACTGTGGAGGGCTCAGAAACACTGTTTTCTGAAAAAAAGCCTTACGTAAGATACCAGAAATCCTTGAACTTCCTATAAAATATTTAGTGATGCAAAAGCCTTTGAAACTACTCAAATACTACATCACCAGAAAGTTTTCTTTGACTGAACATACTGTGAAGACAGGACATTATTAGCTTTCACAAGTAAAACAAATGGTATAATTTGCAGTACTTTACTGCAAGTAAAGTTGGATTAGTGTGAAAGACCTGACATAAAAATGGCTTTCAGATGTCATACCAAACTCCAAAATTGAAAGAGAAAATGTCTTGAACTACTGTAATCTGTATTCCTATGTGGCTTTAGTCCTCCAAGGTATTTAATGTCTGTTGAAATTAATTTCATGTTATATGGTCTCAACTTTCTGGGAAAAATATTGTATTTTTTATTTCAACTATTTGGATCATATTTAAACCTTGCAATGTGCTTTCAATCTTGGTTAAAGACCTTAAACAATAACTGCATGCACTTCTATTCCTAAAAGAAATATATTTTTTATAACTCTTATTTATGAGTGGATTTAGTTTGCAGTGAGAACATATAATACACTAAGGGCTCTACTCAATTTTATCCAGGATAATAAAAACCTACCTTTGCTCTTAAAATGAAAACTAATAATAAGATGGAAAAGCAGCACGAACAAAAATGTGGACTTTGTCTTTCACCCTGTAGTCAGGTTGGCCAAGATGGTGTCAGAAGGGCTCTGTCTCTCAGGGCCTGCAGCTATCCAAGGTTATCCCCATAGACTTCTGTCACTAGAGAAATCCCTACAGAGATCGAGTCTGTACTTTCTAATTGAATCTCCATTTATCCCTGCTCCTGTGCCTGGTTTTCATTGCACAGTGCTCTTGGGACTTCCAGATTTCCTTTCAGGCTAAAGCAATCAGGAGAATGAACTTTAAATACTAGTGGTCATTAAGTCTGTGTGGTAGGCCAGAGATAATTCAAAATAGCCTGTTTGAAATCCTTTAACTGTAAATACCTGGCCTCAGCACCAGCTGTTTTTCTCTGCAAGTCCCCACCTGCCAGGTCCCACTGCTTGCTGATGCAGCATGGTCTGTCTGTACCAAAAGCAGTGTTGTCTTGCAGTCTTGTAGAGACTTCAGACCTATGGCATGCCTTGGACTCACTACCTCCCTGTAAAAGATACTCTGATGAAAGAAGGAATCTCAATCCAAATGCCAGCCTCCTCCAGCCAGTTCTTAAAACCATCTGGACCATTTGACTTAAATCCTAATATCCCAACATTCATTTCTTGGCTTCTTTCTCTTCCCTGGTTGTATAACTTTTCACTTCTTGATGTAAGCTTTCAGCCTAAAGAGTCTGTCTCAGCTGACCTTTCAGCAGCACCGCAGTGAGCCTGTGTCCAAAAAGGCAGCTAAAATCAATGTCTAAACCAGCACAGCTGTTTGGTATGTTTGCCAAGTCCCACAGTGGCTGATAAGACTGTGCTGACTTTTTCTCTAGAGGTCAGGTTGCAAGTAACAATGGGGACCAAACCCAAAACCTGCCTTTGCAGTCACTGCTGTTCTTTTTCTTCCTGTTTTATCTGGGTTTGTCTTGTTTTCTCTGTGAAAGGATGGCCAGTTTCCAAAAAGGAGATTCCTTGACAACCACAGCTTCAGCACCTCACAGCCGGTCTTTTCTATCCATACAGTCACTGCCATCTTGTATCCAGGTGTCTGAATTGGCAACGTATGTTGGGTAGAAAGTTCAGCCAATTGCTTATTGATGCTCTGTTGTGGCACGTGCAGCTCATTCATTCAGAGAGTGGCCCTCACCCAGCTTCAAAATCCTGGAAGTCTTGCAGAGTGGAAGAATGCTGATGGCAGTGTGCTGGAGCAGGAAATACACTCCCCCTTAGGACTGTGTGCCCAGAGGAATTTGTGCATCTTGAAATTTATTCCATCACAGGTTCCTTATCCCACAGCTTGCACTCTATAAAAAGGATAAATGAAGAAATGCCTCAGCTGCATAGGTTAGATATGGTACAAAAATTGTGCTCTGGGTTTTTTTTTCAAATGCTTTAGCTGGCTTCTCCTTTTTTGTTTTTAACCCTACAGTATTTTTAATGACAGTTCTTGCTGTCATACTTAGAAGGAAGAATGAGTACTCAAACTCTCGGTTTTGTTTTTAAAGTTGTGTGGTAATAGGTTTGCTTCAATATCTTTGACCCTCATGACAAATAGAGACTAATCCTAGCATTTTTGGTCATTGAGAACTAAACACCTAAATGCCTTTGAGGATTGTCAGCTTGTGGTCCTCTGTATGAAATTCTCTTAGGAATTCTGTTTTGTGTAAGTTATTTTTAAGAGGGTGACCATTCAATTATGTATAAAATCTATCAGTGCAAAGGGTTAACTAAAGTTAACTACAGTTACAGTAATACAGGCTCATTTGACTGCAAATGTGACAGGAATTAGGTTGTTATTGTCAGGCACACATTAATTTGAGCAAATATAGGATGATAAGATGAAACTGTCAATGGCCAAAAAGGTAGATTCCCCTGACAGTGTATCAGAACTCTCTTTACTTGTACTTAAGTAAATTGTACCAAATGCTGAAAGTCCACCAGATGGCACACAATAGCCTTGGTACGGATAAGTGCCGTCATCCAAGGGAAGGAGAGGAACTTCATGCCTGGCTGAAAATTTAATCTGTGTTACACTATGCAGACTCTGCTTTGTTTTGGCAGCAATTAGTAGGTCAATCCCTAATAGCTAGGAAATGACTTAGAAAAACATTAAGGGAAAGAAATGCGATAAGACAGCAATTATGTTAATTTCTTTCAGCTACTAATTTGTCTTGATTTGTAGTGACATTCATGATGTAAGGACAGGGAGCGGTTGGAGTGAGTCCAGAGGAGGGTCACAAAGATGATCAGAGGGCTGAAGCACCTCTCTGTGAGGACAGACTGAGACTGAGGGGTTGTTCAGGCTGTAGAAGAGAAGACTCCAGGGAGACCTTACAGCACCTTCCAGTACCTAAAGGAGACCTACAAGAGAGCTGAAGAGGAACTTTTTACAGGGGAATGGAGTGGTGGGCCAAAGGAGGAATGCCTTCACACTTAAAAGGGGTGAGCCTAGATTAGATATGAAAAACAAGTTCTTCCTTGTTAGGGTGATGAGGCACTGAAACATGGTGCCCAGAAAAGTTGTCAATGTCCCTTCCCTGGAAGTGTTCAAGGCCAGATTGGATGGGACTTTGAGCCAATGGAAGGAATTCCTCCCCACAGCTAGTGGAGTTGGCACTAGACAATGTTTCAGGTCTCATCCATCCAAACAATTGTGTGATTCTATTCTTGGGATGGACATCTTTAAGCAGTTGGGGATTGACTAGATCTGCCTTTGGCTGTGGATTCTCTAAGTGGGCTATTGCCTGCTGTGAAATTGCTGATATGGCTGGCAATCACTCTTGTGAAGATAAAATATCTATAAGATATTATAGAAAGAAACGACTGAAATATTATATATAATATAATATATATAAAAATATATAACATATATTTACTGAAATAAATATATTACTGAAAGACCTGTGTTCAAGTAGCTCCCTGGCCTTATATCTGCATAAATAAGGAGCCTGCTGTAGATGCCTGGTGCTGACTGTGGTGCTCCTCTCCAGCTCCACTGGTGCTTGAAGGCATAGTTTCAATAGCAGAGACATCATGACCTGTGGAGGTCTGGCTGTTTGTTGGTCCAATGCTGAAACCCTCCTGTGTGTTTCCAGCTGGTGAGTGAAGTGTGTTCAGATAGTGGATTAAATAAT